TGGAGGTGGCGGAGGTGGGGGCGGAGGGGGAGGAGGAGGTGGTGGTCCTAGTGGTGGAGGAGGTGGGGGAGTCGGCGGTGGCGGTGGTGGATAGTCGCAGTAGTGCGGGGAGCGTTGTATCCTGGTCAGGTCATCTGAAAAACATTGTTAGTCTAAATATTATCTGGTAGTGAAATAAAAAATATATATAGCAAGTAGTGTTGAAAGTAATTTCACAAGCGGGGGACCCAATATTAGCATTTGATCTTCTGTTTTGGCTATTTTACAAATAAGAAAACTTCTCGTTGAAAGATTACTAAGTGCACGTTACGGTACATTTAAGTGGAAAAACAAAATAAAATCTAAACCATTAAAATATTTAGTCCAATAGGATGAGAATATTGTTGAAGAATTGCAAACACCACGACTGCAATTGCTGAATTGGGACGAAAAAATTCCAATTAACCTAAACCTCTATACTTACTTTGTCCATCGGCTGTAGTGTACGCGACTAAAGTAAAAAAAGCGAACAGGACAGCTCTCCCTGCCATTTCGTTAGACCTAATGACATACATTGTAACATGTTATAAATTTTATACCTGTTTTATACAAACAACTTATTCGCCGAAAACTGCGAGTATCAGTTCCTGATTCGTACAAAAGTGATAATAAATCGTGTCGACTTATATGTAAGGTGTGAAATCAAATCAAAGTCGGGGGAATTACTTAGTAACAAAGTCTTGATGCTAATTTTGATTACGTAATGTTATACTTTATATTTATCTTTTAAATAATCTTCCATATTTTTCTACGAATAAACATCAGGACGTTGACTGAAACTCAAGTATGCAATTCATTGTTTGGTTGTCATGACATTAACTGTCAAGGAACTGTCAGAAGGTGCGAGTTAACATCAATTAGCTGACTGTTGTCTAACATTAATTTTCACTGTGGAAACACCAGTACTAAATATATTGGTATCTCTGTATTTTCAAGGAGAATAAGAGGGATGACAATATGGATTTGTACGAACGTTTCAACAGTAAACATATGATAGTTAGTCGAGTTAGGAGCAACCCCATCAGGTCTTAACAAAAATGGAGAGTATAAAAAATAATTAGGTTTTAATTTTTTAATTTTAGATTGGAGTTATTGGCGACTCGGTTAATCGGGGTTCTACTGTAATTACTTTCGTGTCCTAATAATATTTACAAATCCAAATTCGCTTTAAATACAATTAAATAAAAAAAAACGTTATAATGTATTAATTAACTCACGTGAATGTAAGTTGGCAACTAACCTCGTACTTACATGAAGAAATGTTTATAAACAAAAGAGTATGACTTACCGTGCGTGCCAAAGCAGTTGTTCAAAAACGTAAAGGCATTGCTCTCGTTCTCTTTGAAGAAAAAAAACAGAGTATAGTTTTCCGCAAATGAAAACCAACATACAGACAAAAAATTATGACATTACTTAGAACTCGAATTTACGAAGACTCTTTCTGCAGTAAACTCCGCGTGAATTTTGATTGGACCAGATATGGAAGCTGCCATCGAGTTTCACCTATCACCTATCCCTCCCTAATTTCCTAGACACATTTTTATCTCAGTTTTTCGGCGAAAATGAGATAGTTAAGATAATAATATTTGTTTGTAGCGTAGTAGCGTCGGTCATTTGACATCAGTAGATTATATTTTGAATTTATGGCATTGACCAATGCTGATATTCGTCATTATTGTACTAATAATTTTACAACAACTGTTAGCTCAAATCATAGATCATGTCAATACATTATACATCTTATATTTGTCCTCGTGTCTTCGTATAGAAAACTATTACAGGAACTGTTAGTGACCAGGTTATATGACGTTTGTCCTAGTATAAGACTTCATAAGAGTTCATATTACGAGGGCTGGTTTATTTATATGCCATAGTTACATATTATATTGACATTCGCTACCAGATACGATGACAACCCAATGTGAGATGGGATTTTCCGTACGTTAATTATCTCTTCCTAATTTAAAGACAATTTCTAGAGAAAATTTTCTCTCTAGAGAAATGTGTTAAAATAAAAAAAATACATTTCAAATTATAATATTTATATTGCCTATTTAGTAATATGGAGTGAATAAAATAAGTCAGAAATATTGGAAAAATATATATATTTCAATATCGGAAAAGTGACAAACATTCAATAAACGTAACATAATTTTATCAATTTCTGGTTGATTATGTACTTCAACCAGCTACGGAGAGGGCAATCGCTGATCCGCTGTGACTTTTGGCATTGCTCAGAGCGTAACTGCTTTTACCACAAGTGCTACAGCCGCTGTTTTGTTCCTGAGCTTGTTTCAAACCCTGTGCTGCAAGCTTTAGAGCACCACCTATACCTGTGTGAAGATCGCTCTGTTCTTGTTGATTCGCACCGTAGCTTCCAGAAGATGATCCACTGGCTTCGCTTGAACTGGAAGAACTCGATCCAGATGCAAGTTGTCCTTGACTTCCAGCGCCGGATTCAAAACCTGTCTGCGAACCAAGCTGCAGTTGTTGTTGTTGACCATTGTCCGCAGATTCCTGCTGTCCATAGTGGCCAGAGCTTCCTCCTACGAGTTGACCTGATGAGCTGAACCCATCGCCTTGACCTTGACTTTCACTATTAGACCCAAAACCTGTCTGTGAACCAAGCTGAAGTTGTTGTTGTCCATTATCCGCAAATCCGTTACTTTTGCCGAATGTGTTGAAACTAGATTCCTGCTGTCTATAGTGGCCAGAGCTTCCTCCTGCGATTTGACCTGATGAGCTGAACCCAGCGCCTTGACCTTGACTTTCACTGTTAGACCCAAAACCTTTTTGTGATCCAAGCTGTTGTTGTTGTTGTCCATTATCCGCAAAACCGTTACTTTTACCGAATGAATTGAAACTTGATCCCTGCTGTGCAAAGTGGCCAACTGAGCTTCCACCCGCGAGATGACCTGCTGTGCCAAATCCAGCTCCTTGATTTTGGTCTCTACCGTTGGAACCAAAACCTGACTGCGATCCAAGGTTTAATTGTTGTTGTTGTTGGTTTCCAGAGGATGCTGAGCTTGCACTGCTTGCACTGCCTGCCCCAAGACCTAAACCAGACTGTAATTGACCAAATTGACTGTTACTTTGTTGTTGCTGTTCGTTAGCATCAAATCCGTTGCTCTGGCCGTACACTGATCCTGATTGTCCAAAATGAGTGTTTTGACTACCGAAACCTGAGCTTTCGCCTTCAAAGTGGCCTCCTGAACCATAGCCAGACTGCTGATGTCCACTAATACCATCAGCTCCAAAACCTCTTTGTGATCCTAGCTGCAAATTTTGTTGTTGTTGTTCGTTCGAAGAAAATCCGTTGCTTGATCCAGATTGACCAAATTGGGCGTTCTGGCTTCCAAATCCTAAACTACCATCTTCAAGCCGTCCTGTTGATCCGAAACCAGAACCTTGAATTCCGCTTCGAAATCCAGATTGCTGTTGTTGCTGGTTTCCAGTAAATACAGAACTTGCACTACTTGCACTGCTTGAACTACCTCCAAAGCCAGACCCGGAATGCAAATGATCTGATTGAGAATCTAAATCTCCCCTTTCTGAATGTTGGCCTTCGAAATGAATTGCCCCCGCGTCGTCGTGATTGTTACTACTTGAAGCAAATGAAGAGCTTTGCGAAGCAGATCCAGCACCGAAACCTCCATGAATGTTTCTGGCTCCTTCAAAGCCCCCAAGGCCACGTCCGGGCGTGTAAAATTGTTGGTGGTGAAAAATACCTCCGTCTTTGAAACCAAAGCCTTTTCCAAATTGTAGGTCGCCGCTTTGGATGGAGAAATGTGATTCCTTAAAACTGCTCTTGCTGCCGCTGAATTTCTTACCGCCGCCAAATCCAACGCCCTGTCCGCCGAAGTCGCCACCTGATGATTGACCAAAACTATCAGAATCCTTGTCGAAACCAAATCGGTTACTTAATAATTCTGGCGCAGCTGTTCCTTTTTTTTCATCGTCACCCCCAGTGGCGGAAGCTAAAGCTAATGCTTGACTGCCACTTTGTGTTCCTCCGTCTATGGAAGCGGCTGCACCACTGAATACTCCATGTCCACCATTACTATGGGTCAGTCCGCTCCACTGTTCTGTATGAAACACCGGTGGTATACCTGGCGGAGGCGGTGGTGGGGGAGGGGCCGGCGCTGGTACTCCTGGAGAGTCGCATTCATCGCACGGTGCTGGTGACCGCGCTTGCCGTTTTAACACTGCGTCTGAAAGGGAGATGCATGATAAACATTTTAAGAACACGTCTCGTGATAAAACATGGTTTTAATGCTTGATCCCAAAATGGTACTATTATTTGTTGTTTTACATAAAAGATGTTTAATTAACATAACTAAAGTATAGTTAAGTTATTTGAAATAACTCTTAGAAATGTAATTTAGTAACTTTATAATACGATTTTTACCTTCATTTCGTAGTACAGATCCTTGGACAGCGTAGGCACAGATACCTATCAGTAGTACGAATGCTTTAGCCATCTTGTGGAACATCTGAAACTATTCTGATGAGAAAACTATCGATTCAGCGTTATATAAGCGACGTGTGATAAATTTTTTCCAAGAATAGTATAATTTAAAATTATAGGTAGCAGCAAATTGGAAGGTAAACATTAATGTTAGCACTACTTTTAAGAAATTTGAGTGGTTTTTTATTATTTTCATGTATAATATAAATTACGTCATGTTTGGATTTTTTAATTTCTAGAATGATATCCGTGAAGATACTTTGATAAACTAGTAGTTGGCAGTGAGAATAAAGTTAAAGGTTCAGATCTAAACACATTTGTTCATTCATTTGATTTTCGGGAACTTTCGTAAAAATGTAATTTTTATAAGAGTACGGGGGCGGCAAACGGACGGAGAGAACACTATGGTGATCAACGACACCCGTAATGTAATTCATTACTCATTACTTGTTAATTTCTCTGTTATGGAGTTCAAAATAATTAAATATTTTTATTTGGTGTCTTACGCTTTCCTGACAATAGTTTTTAATTGTAATAAATCATTTTTATCTTGATAATTTATAGAAATTGTAGGTATAAACTACAGAATTATAATTATATTATCTTTAAATACATGTATGGTAAGGATAACATAAAATATAGTGTAGTTTTATTGTTATTAATGAGGCAAATATTTATTTGTCAACTAGCAACATTGAAAAAATGAGGTAAGCGTATGGCTATGTCCCTGAAACGTCTATTTCTTGGTTCCAAGAACTTTTCCATTGTTTATTTTTAACAGAATTTCTGACACGTTTTGTGACACAGCAGATGTCTTGAAAGTGTTTGATAAAATTCTGCATTTATAAATCTGAAGCTTCAGTTTGTCTAATTTTCAGTATGATCAAGTGCTGATGTCTTTATTGTTAGTCGAGAGATTTCCATAGTAAACAGCGAGATCCCTGCCGTTACGGAGATACCTTCCGACAAACATCCATACATTCGCATTTATTTTAGTAAGAAAAAGATGTATACTAGTACAGATTCCATAACATAATATTATATAATAGTAGTATAGTACATATTCAGTTGTTTGTTTTTAGTTTTTAATATTATATTTTATGTTAAAGGCATAGAAATAAACCAGGTACAATTTTAATGTAATTTTATTGTCTTAAAATGGTTCATTAATATTAGGTTTACATATTGGGTAACTGACAACATGATTCTTATAATATCACATTTTTAACCAGAAGAAGCAGACTGAGCGTTGGATCTAGCAACTCCACCATTCCCTGAGCTTATACTGACACTCTTCGATATACTAATGTTCGTTCCAGACCCCGGCCTCGCACCGAACCCAGGACCACCGAAGCTAGGTCCACCAAATCGTGGTTTTCCAATCGCACGACCACCGAATCCTGGTTTACCGAAACCGGGTCTTCCGTATCCTGGTCCAAATTGTCCTGGAGGACCGAATCCACCAGCACTTGCTTTTGCACTAGCTTGACTGGCGGACCCGAATTGGGGTGAACGGATTATACGAGTGCCTGAAAAAGATAATCATCAACACAACATTCAGAAACAACCCTGTATATCAGAATCAGTTTTGCAGGACAATCCAATAATTTTATACTAGTGGTTGCCCGCAGCTTCGACCGCGCGGAATTAAAAAATCTAGTAACAAATATACCTTTGGGATACTTTACTTCTTAACAGTGAAAGTTTTTGTTTTAATCGGTTCAGTAGTTTCAAATCATACTTCAAGCAAACAAACAAAGAATCAAATATTTCATCCTTATAATAATAATAATAATAGTATCTGCCATGAAAATAAATGATTACATACCAGCTTCAACATCAAAGAAGCACGCGGCCAGAACCAAAACAACGAACAGTTTGAACATCCTGAACACTCGAAATATCAAACCTTAATACTCGTCTACAATCATCAAACTCAATTTATACCACTCAAATAAATACTAAATTTTCATACAAACATTACAATACAAATACTACTACGAAAATATTTTACTACTTAGAACAGGTCGGATTTTGTACCTTATGCTATTGATTATAAATAAATAAATCGATTGATGTGAGAAAAATTAGTAAAAAAACATATCATTTTGTAACATCACGCGAAAATTCCCTAATAGTATGTCAATAAGCAGACAACAGAGTGAATAACATAGTTTATTTACATTTATTTAACAAATTAAACAATAAAAGTTATTAATTATTAATAGTCTGTAGATACTATTAATTATTAATAATGTATTTAAGTTTCATAATCTAGCTCCAAACTCAAAGATTCAAACAACTTAAAGATTCTCTAGCTTTGTATTTGAACTTTTGAAGTACTACACAAAAGAAGCAATTGCGCGTTTCATCTTCTTTCCCTTCACACCCTTTTTCTTATATGGAAAGAATGCGTAGTGGAAGTGAACTTTCTGGATGAGAGGATGCATGGAAAGAGAAAATATTTTCTTTCTGTGCATCCTCTCCTCCGTCGATTAAAGGTAGGCAAGGCATATGCAATTACGTATGTCTATGGGCAACGGTCACTTCTCTATTTCAGCGATTTCAGGTGGCCGCTCGCTTGTTTGCCACCTTATGATATAAAAGATAAAAACTTTAGGTTAGAATTAATAATCACACTTAGTCCGCTACACGCCTTCTGTGTAAACTGCACAGTTTTAACTGAACTGTTGCACTGTACAGTTAAAACTGAACGTAAATCGTCGTCTACTTTTTTAAATACTTTGATCTTGTCTATTTTTAAAGAAATTGCATCTTCAAATTTTAACTTTATTATTGGAATCATACAAATATATGTTTATTCGAATTAAAGGTCATTGTCATATGGGTCCATAGAGACTGGAAAATGACCTAAGACATTGACATTTTTAAATTCTGAGAAACATAAGGTGATATTTGCACTAAACATATTGCAACATCGCATTGTACGTATGAGGAAAATAAATATTAAGAGACGCAACAACAGTACATTCTAAACATTTATTTTAATTTTTAAACCATTAGAAATGAATAATAATAAATTTAAATTGAATCAATTAGTATCATAGAGCACATCATTTAATCGTTATTAATAAGTAAAGAACAAAAAAAACACTTTACACTTTAAAGTTTCTTTTCCTTACACAATAGATCCTTTTTCCAGATGTTTCCAAGCTTAAATGATTTGTTTTCACGATACTAGAAGGTGGGTTCTTGACATAAGAAAATATAATTTAGAATTTAAAAACATTTGCAGTGTCTCATTAACATTTTATTTAGACAGTAATGCCTTTTAAATAACTGGAATCGAACTAAACTCTATATAAAACTACTTTCCGTAAGCGCCAGAGTTCGCACTGGATTGAGCCTCGCCGCCACCAGGGCCGGAATTAATACTGACGCTTTTAGATATACTGATGGATCCCTGAGGTATCTGCCCTCCTCCGTATCCGTATCCAGGTCCTCCGAACCCACCAGGTCGACCTCCGAAACCGCCACCACCAAATCCTCCACCTCCGAAACCACCTCCTCCGAATCCTCGGCCGCCCCCAAAGCCACCGCCAAAGCCTCTATCACCACCGTAACCAAATCCATGTCCGTGATGGTGATGGTGGTAATAGGGTCTGTTACCGTACGGGTCACCACCGAAACCACCGAAACCACCAAACGATCGCGCTTGCGCCTGCGCATTCGCTTCACTGAATTGAGGTGATCTTACAACTCGAGATCCTGAAAAATGGAGAAAATAACATAACATTTGCCTATACCTGTTTGTTAGGAGCACTTAATGCATGTAGAAGATTTAAAAAAGCCTT